GTAGCAAGTACGTATGTCATTAACTTCATCAAAACAGAAGGAAAAGTTCCAGAAAAATTGAAATAGTGGTACTTGAAGTAAACCCAAATGTGTGCACAAATTCCTTGAGATAAATTAGATAAAAAATGTGATAAACTTTCTGGTTTAGAAAGGAAGAATACTGTTATTTAATTGTGAATCTTTAGGAAGATCTTTTTCCAATCAAGTTCCAGTCAACTTATGGCAGCCCTACAGGGTTTTCAAGGGAAGAGACCTGCCTCTCCATAGTGACCCTGGTATTCCATGGAGGTCTCCTATCGAAATAATGACCTATCAGTTTCCATAACATGGGAGTGAACCAGTGATGACTAGGGAGAATTTTTCTCTCTGTATAGTCTGGATATTTATTGCCTCCTGATCTCATCGTTCAACAACCAGTCTCTGAAAGGAGGTGGATGGCTCCACTTGACTACCCAGGGGATAAGATTGTTTCATCTACAGCCAGACACATCACTATTTATATGCCAGCAGCAGCTTTGGGCGCTTTGGAACCTCATGGCCTCTGCATACCACCCCCTACTACGTAAAACTGGAAGCCTTCCTCCAGTGTAAGTGGCTCTTCCTCCAACAGAAAAACCACCTATGTGGGAGGAGGGCTCCTTAGGCTACAGCAGGAGTGGCCAAACTGCAGCTCAGGAGCCGCATGTGGCTCTTTCACACAGCCTAATTTAATGTTAAAAAGCAAATTTGCATATTTTTCAATAAAAATGCGTGTGTGATTTTGTTCATGTCTTGCGGCTCTCGAACATCTGACATTTATTCTATGTGGCTGTTAACATTAAGCAAGTTTGGCCACCCCTGGGCTAGAGGCTACATGCCAGGAAGTGCCCTGATGTTCCATGAATTGCACCCCACTTCCTCCTTGTAATTTTCCCCCCCAAAGGCAGGTGCATAGTTTCTATAGGATTTTGTGTTTTTGGCAGTGGGGATTAGGAATTCATAGAAAAGGATGAGCAAGAAATGTGTAGGGATAGAATGTAGACCATGATTGAAGGACTAGGACTGGGCAAAGTGGTTTCACCATGAGGCTGGTAACTGCATCTCTTTATTTATTTATATAATATCCTGCTCTTTCTATAACAAAATGTTTTTAGACAAAGGGTTTCAACTTATAGAATCATAGAATGGAAGGGGCCATACAGACCATCTAGTCCCATCCCCTTCCCAGTGCGGGATCGGCCTAAAGCATCTCTGGCAAATATTCGTCCAGCCTCTTCTTGAAAGCTATCAGTGAAGAGGAGCTAACCACCTCCCTAGGCAGCTGATTCCACCTTTGAACCACACTGACTGTGGAAAGGTTTTTCCTAATATCCAGCCGATACCTTTCTGCATGTGATTTAAACCCGTTGCTTTGGGTCCTATCCTCTGCTGCCAACTGGAACAACTCCTTGCCCTCCTCCAAATGACAGCCTTGCAAATATTTAAAGAGAGCAATCATGTCCCCTCTCAACCTCCTTGTGATTCCCCTGGAGGGACTTAACAGAATACATATACTGTACTTTCCAGATGTTTGAGATGGCTTTCAAATAAAAAATGTGTACCTTTATCTTCATTCAGAGGTTCCCAAACTTATTTGGCCTACCACCCCCTTTTCAGAAACAAAATTACTCAGTGCCCCCAGACATCTACCTTCAAGAAGTGGCCAGAGAGATGCAGTTTGTGGATCTGCACCTGGATCATTCCAGCGCCCCTGAGAGGGTGGTATTGCCCACTTTGGGAACCAGTGATATGGTGAGAGCTTTGCAGATGTCCTGGAAACTGTATCCATTCCCTAACCTGATGGTTGGGGGACTTCAGACTTTCAATGGACTGCTTTAGCGACAGGCTATAGAAGTGGAATCTCTCCCTTATAATAATTGTATAGTGGGCACCAACATTCTAAAATTGGCCCCTTTAGTGTTAGGCCGGAAGAACTGCCACTCAGAAGACACTGGCTGGGTTGACTGGCTGCTTTGTGCAGTCCCACCCAGCGTTCCAAGGTCATTTGCATATGGAAGCTGATTGGACTTCACTCCATTCCACACCTCAAACTCCCCCCCCCGCAAGGCAGTTGGAATTTTCAGTTGCATAACATACCTCATAGGGGAGAGGAGAATGATGTCAGCTGCTTTGGTTACCACTGCAGGGAAAGACTGCCCTTTCCCTAGGCAGAGGCTGTGGG